GTTTATCTTGCAATTGTGGCGAGGGTGAAAATAACAATTTCTACCCTGATCGGCTATCTGTTGGAAAATGAGAGCTTAAGAAAATGGAGATCCAATCTATCTGTGGTTAGACACTGAGCTGATCTTTCCGGGCTGTTGTAGCTCAAGTAGAGATGGTCACAGTGGCGGTATATTCTAATAATGGATACATCCATTTATGTAAAATGACTAGATGGCAGGAGATTCTTGTTTCTGTGATTCTTTAGAGAAAAATGAGAAAGGAATTGGAATGAAATGCTAACTTTTTTAAATTTACATCTATGTTTGTTGCAGCTACAGTGCCTGGAACAGTCTCTAGTTGGTGCACAGTAATTGTGTAGAGTCTATAAACAATGCTCAGAAATCACAAACACCCCTTTCCCCTCATTTGAGATCATCTATAAGTGTGGGGCCAACAAGATTGGGCAGGATGCCTCCCACATATCTCTTTCCTCTCCTGCCAACAGATTGTACTCTCTGGTGGTTTGAGGGAGGAAATGCAGGAACTTCAAAGTTTCCTCCGCTAGACAACAGATCCATTGCACATTGAACAGCCACTACCACATGGTGAAGGGAATAGCAGAATCAGGTGATAATCCTCTACGAGTTCGTCACTATGAGCTTATAGCCATTTCAATAACTGTTAAACATTTTTTTTATTATAGCCACTTTAAAAAAAATACAACAATATGACTGTATGTGCTTTGTCATGAGGCCATCTTCAATGGCTCTATTACGCACGTCTGTGTCACTGGGAGCTTTGATGTCTCCATCCTGGCAACTACAAGCAAACACAACATCCTTCATTTGAATCCACTTCAAACCTTGCCCTTCAAACTGCAGAAAGGAGAAAAACCCTAAACTGCTTACCAAACGGGACCATCTGGAGGCTGTCGTTGGATGATGGGAGCTGGAGGCCTAAAAGGCTTTGGGGGGGTTTGTTGAAGGGAAGGCAGACAGAGAGAGAGAGAGAGAGACAGTGGAGCAGCTACGTCTACCAAACCATGTCGTGAGTCCCTCTCTGCAGGCAGGACGGTAATTACAGGGCGCAGACAGAGAAAGCCTGACTGGAGAAAAAAGCGGAGATACTCAAACTGCTAGGTTGCCGCCCTCAACATAACCGCAACCAGCCCATCCTATGGTATTGGCCATGAGAGTAGGGTTCCAGATCAGTGCACTGACACACAGTGCCAAGGAAGAGGCAGCCTCGACACAGACAGAGTCCATGTCAGGCCAGGTAGGTCAGCCCAGTGTACCGCAAAAGGACCACACAGAGCCTCCAGGCTGTTAACAAAGGCTCTATCAGTTCTATCAGAAGTAAAAGGCTTCAGTGTCATAAGCCTTGGATTTTTTTCAATACCCAGTCTAATTTTCTGTGTCAGTCTGTGCCACTTTGAGGAAACTGCCAAGTAATATAAACCAAAAATAAATAAATATTCACTACTTTTTCCGTAACCCGGTTGGTATGATCATTAAACAACATGAGTCACCGCCCCAAAGCGCCGCGTGGCTTCATCAACTCCGAAGCTCCCATCAAACTGCATCAGAGTGAAATGTTCGCTTCTGTCCCCCAGTCCCGACTTGTCTAATAAAGCTTTCGGGGAGCAGAGCAGGCACTCGCCTTTACCAACTGTCTGAGCGTTATAAATCATCAGCCATGCCCAGGGAGGCTGCGTCCTTCAGCGTGACCCGCAACCTTCACACATCCTCACACAGTCAAACCTTACCGACATCCCACCAGGGCAGAGAAATGAGGTGGGTGCAGTTCATCACATCCGTCAAGCTCCTGACAGCGAACGGTAATCCATAAAACCAGTGTGCCTGGGTAGGCTGAAATATACCTTGAAAGTAGCTCAGCATTTTCAAATGTTAAATGGACAAAGTGGCTGCTTTTCTGACTCACCTTGGCCTAAACACTGTAGTCAGAAACTTTAAGCAGTGTGACATTAATCGCCACCTGCGATCATCTAATAATGCACCAATGCCCTCACCAGGTTTTGCTGTTATATCACAGGTTTCTAGCGTGCAGGTTTACAGCAAGCCGAAGAATATTGCACTAGTATTTCTCCTCTGACATTTATCTGGGCCCTGCCATTCCTTCACTCAGCCCTAACTGTAGATTACAGCAGCAGAGATATGAACTACATGACGTATGATTCCCATTTCCAAGTGCAGGTGTCAAAGCTGTGTATGTGTTAATGATGAGTGTGTCCAGGGGAGGGAGAGGAAAAAAGCTCCCCGGGGCGTTTTTGGCACCGTGGAGAAGGCCACTCTTCCAGGCTGTCGTCGTTATCAAGGAGGGGCCATGACTGAGTGCGGGGTCAAAAAACTGCCTTGCATGAGATTAATTTTATTTTACAGCCTGGAGAATAACATTGCTTTTACCGCATTTAAACTGTTTGTTCCCTTTAACTGTGACCTCCTGATGGCCTTGGTTACTATGTACGGACTGCGCAAGGGTGGCTCAAATTATTGTGTAATCAGTGGCCTCACCGTTGATAAGAAGTAGGTGACTCAGAACACGCAGCAAACCTTTTTTTTTTTTCCTCAAACACTTCCTTCACCATGAGAGAAGAATAAACAGAAAGAAAAGCAACAAATCATTGCGTATTCCGCTGCCATACCAGACTACCAGCAAATCGATTTCGGAGCCTCAGGTGTCTTTTCTGCCAGCTCTGTGGGCCATAGCCATTTTACACACACACACACACACAAAGACACAGCACAATTCTGGATCCTAACTTTTTATCACTCGATGAGTAAAGTCAATGCATTGGTTTCACAGCCGGGAGCAAAAAGGTGGCACAATCTGTCTTCTCACAGAGAGGAATCAATTCTGTACTGTGACAAAATATCCATATTTAATTCTTCTGCAACTATTTATCATACACATTCAATGAAAACAGTTTAGTTTTACATTTAAATGCACACTGAATAAGACATCAACTACCGATCTTTATTTGTGAGCATGAGGCCTTACATCCTCTAATACTGATGTCCTTTGAGTTTCTGAAAAACATTATCTGAATGATCCATAAATTACTGTCAGACTCAGTTGGAATAAATCCTGCCTACAAGCTGCAGGGTGTTGGGTAATGGCAAGCTCGCAGTTTGATTTATCGTCTTCCACACATTCAGTATTTTCCATGATGACAGCTTCTTAACCATCACCAAGTCACATCAGCTTTTTTTTTTCAACACAAGCACGGCATTAGCAAGTTAGATCAGTGTGTGTGTCCAGGGCTGTTTTACTTAGCAAAATTATATATCTCTGCCATATCCTCCCTTCCTCTATCTCCCTCTCTCCCCCAGAGGAGCCCAGGGGGACAGGAGACGGCTGCTAATTACAAGCCTAAACCAAGCACATGGTGTTAAAAACAGATAACGCTGGCTGATAGATAGCCTGCATTGAAAAACATGTCAGAGACACAATGTGTCAGACAAAAAACCTTTAAAAAAATCCCCTGCTGGCACTGGAGAACTCTACCATTCATCCGTTTTTCGTAAGAAGCCAGCAATTACTTGGGCCAAAAACTTGCATGGTAATAAATGAAATGATGTTAACATCTCTTCACAGAATAATCAGGGTCAGGCTTTCTGTCTTACATTAAAAACTTGGAGGCTGGAGGCTCTCCGGCAGCCACACGGCAGCCCACTCTGCAGCAGTCAGCAGCAGCAGCAGTAGCCTCTCACCTCTCCACAGCACGGCCACTCCTTGACAGGTTTATGGACACAGAACACCATCTTTCTTGCACAGGGGTTGCCATGAATCACCTGACCATAACACAAAGTGTAAAGGCATATAGCGACTCCTGCGCATGAAAAAGTACCAAGACTCTCAACAAAAAGGCCTTGGGGAATGTGTTACGCAGGAAGTCTTCTATATACAGAGCAGTAGGCACAGTTGTAAAGGAAATACACCACCAGTTGATGTGGAGGGTGTTAATGTACTGTTTCTTCACTATGCTGTGTCCACTGGGTGTGCTTTAAAAGCCAACACCTGTTATACACACACAAAGTGCTGGCACAAAGCAACGCAGCAGGTGAATTCTCTCCTATCATCTTCAGCTCATTATTAATCAACCTGTATAAAAAGACAGCGCAGTGATGGCAGGAAAACCGCGATGCCTCTGACCTACATGGAGGCATGGACGATGCATTAATGAGCCCGAGGCACTGACAACCATTCAGCCATCAAATATCAAAAGGCCAGCTATGAGTAATGCATTACCCTGCTGAACCCATGCACCGCGCTCGCTTCAGCCTTTTTTCATACCGATGGTTTCAAGTGGAGGGTGCTGCTTATTTTTAAGTAAATGAATGACAAAATGCTCTCTAAAGTTTCAGCAGGCTGCACATGTGGAACGGTTTGGCAATGGGACTGGCACAAGAAAGACATATTTCTCCTCCAGAGATCAATTATTTCCCCAGCACAACTCAGAAGACTTAGAGCAAGTCCAGACTCTGGAGACTGAGGCATCCAAGCACACCGCCTGCTTACTACTGACTTCACTGTTCCTTCTATGAAAATAATCCTAGAAAGATACCACTGCTGCAGGAATATGTGAAAATACTGTATGATCATGATCCCTATGAACTGAAACGCACAGGTTTCTGCAGGAGAAAAGATGGATTTACAGAGATTTATAAGGAAGTTTCTAAGTGAAGTTTCTAAGGGTTTTCAAATTACACTGTGCTACAGAGAGAGGTGAGAATAACCAGTACAGCATTTTGATCACTCTACAGCTCTTCAAAGCGCCACACTCTATTGATGCCCTCAGGCAGACTGCTTGTGTGGATGATAAAGCTCAGCTCACAGGAGTTAAACGCCAGTGTTGCTGCTCACTCAGAGTTATGGCAACATAATGAATGAAAGCCTGTCATCACTCATCTGCTGTCGTTCACAACCGATCGGGAATATGTAGAGGAGACAGAGGAGACACACACACACGAGGCCGGGTGTCATTCATTCACCCAAGTACCTGTCATCGTAGCAGAAATCGGCGCCCAGAGTGTTGACATACAGGACCAGAGCCACGGCGCCGCACAGCAATTCTGCAAACATTTCTGTGCCTCGCACCCACGCGGAAAAAAACAAAAACAAAAAAGAACAACAAAACAAAACAGGAAAAAACAACAAAGATGCAAAGCGAGACGGAGAGAGAGAGAGGGAGAGAGGCAGCGAATCCCGATCCCTATTCCCTCTCAGTCCCCGTCTTTGTCAGGATGTCTCTGCGAAAACAAGTCCATTTCCTCCCCCCCATCATCCTCGCTGAAGTGCTCAAAGTGGATAATCCATAGGCGGCTTTCTTCCTAACCCATGTTGGGTTGTGCGCCGGAGAGCTGTGTTATCCTGCTGGGAGTTGGGCACAGAATAAAAGGCGAGCAGCGTTCAGTGGATGTGTGACAGCAGCGAACCGCACGCCTTCCCGACACGGAGGAGGAGGATCGGCGCTCTGATGCTCAGCGGCCGCTGCTGGATCAACGTCGTGATTGAGACCGTCGTCAAGTCAGGCGGGATGACACCCGAGACTTCCGGCTGGACTTTAAAAATAAAGCTGGCCGATAAACCCTTTTGTATATATTTTATGTGCCAAAGTGGACATGAAAAATTAGGAGATGAGAACGTTTTGTAATATGAAAATCCTGTAGCGCTCTTATTCACAAAATTCACTGAAAAACTAGCCCACATTGTATGCAATATTGCATATGGGCTATATTTCTAATTACTTATGACTGAATACATGCCAATTACAAAAAAGTAAACCTAGATGATCGACTTTACTTTAAACTGGCATGTATTTCTGAATTATTTCATATTCTGCATTTTGGTATCATGTAAGTCTGTGCTCTCACCTAAAACAGCCATAAACTGATTAAAAAAGGCTTACATACAGTAAACAAAATAAATCATATATGCTTATATATAGGCTATATATAGAATATAATGTATATATACATTTTTTTTCAATTCCTTTACCGGAATCCTGCTTTGTGTTTCTATAAAGTGTACCTGTGCTTTAATACTGAGATAAATCTGCTCCACTTCCGTTCTCTCTCTTGGTGTCTCTGGGTTTTTGACTCTTTCTCGAGCCAAGCGCATGTGGTTAGGAGATGCAAAGCGCATGCGCACTGCCCCACCGACGGGGACGGGGATAAATCACACTACATGATGCTGAGACCAGTTGGTAAGGGTCACTTACTACCACTAACAGTAGTCCATAATATGGAGGTGGTCCTCAGAGTGACGTTCAGGGACATGTAGGAGTTTTTTCTGGTAGGTTTTATGGATTCTCCGAGCACAGTCATGAATATTTTATTTAATTTCACTATTTTGTCATTCCCTATGGGGTTACCACTATAATAAATTGAATATTATTTCAATCTGAGGTGTCACTCTACCTAATTAACCTAACCTAACCTAACTACTGCATGTCACTACATTATAATGGTATGGCTATAGGCTGATATGTTTGTCTAACTCTTTAATTAGGATACATAATAATTCAACTATGGGGCTACATAAATTACAACAGCAGTGTAAAATCATTCAGTGTGTTGTGAATGATTTTAGTGAATCCCACAACTTTTATTACTAATCTGGCTTTAATACAATAAACCTGAATGATCACAGCTGCAGAGAACAGCAGCTATAAAGGGACATTGCGTGTATGTGCTTTGACTTCTGTTCACTGAAAAAAGAAAAGAAAAGGGTAGCACAGTTGTTGATTTAAATCTACTTTATAGTTTGTTTTAAGTAGAAATCATAGTTTTGTGAGTGCACTTCTGTCTGTGCACTGACTATTCTGTTGACTATTATTATTCTATTCTGCTGATGAAAAAGACTGGTTGTCTGATTAAATCATAAAGGGAAAAACATTTTCCTTTATGAAAAAAGGCGTGACATGTTCATCACACTGGCTACTTAAAGTCTTTCCAGTGTCACTTCAGTAATTGCTTTCTATTGATTTAGATTGATTTTGACCAGGCTGAAAAATAAGTGTGCAGTATAGCCGGCCCCACAGTGGCCACTAGAGGGCTCACAGTGCATGATGTGTGTGGGGTCATTGTTTCAGTCTCTGTTTTACAACTAAATGAATCATCCTTAAATACAAACAAAATGAGTTCAATTGATGATGAATGATTATCTCATTCTTTCCAAATGACCCATTTAAAACACTGATAGAATAAAATAACAAAAATGTGTGTTTTTTTCACGAGTATAATGTCTGGTAGTTATTATACTTTGCTAGATTGGATCTTGTATCATCAATTTCAGGATGAACAACATGTTTTAATTTCCAAAAACAATACACAGCAATTCAAAATCAAAGTCTTCCACTGTTCATGACTGTTAAAATGTTCTTGGACTCTCTGACATAGAGGATGTTGCACAATATGAAGAATCTAAGAGTCCAGCAACAGAGAAAAACAGAATAGTTGTTAAAAGTGCTGCACAGACAAAGCAAGTAGCCTGGCCCGTTGCGTATTGATTCAGGGTTGTTTCAAAGAGACAGACCCCATCTGTCGTAAGCAAACTTCAGCGTAGCCTTTCACGGGACAGCAGCAGGACATTACGAGGTAACACATTTCAGGAATTAATTAGATGGATCAGAGCACTAGTCTACAATTCACTGAGGGCTGATTAAATATACAAACATGAACAATCCAACCGTCAGGCTCAAGGCACGTGCACAGTGCTACAATGTCTCACACTGCAAGAAACCAAAACAAAAACCTTTGCTGTGGCCAAAGCAACGTGATAATAATCTCATAAAATGCTTAGAATTTCCTGCAATTATAAACATGAATCTGCTCTCTTTTACTCCACATCTGTCTCGGTTGAAAGCCTGTTAGATCAAGATGTTTTAATTGCTTTATGTATCTACTGGCAGTAGTAAAGTAACTGTGTACATTTACTCACTTAAGTACAAATTACTTGTACTGTACTTCAGTAGTTTCATTCAATGCCACTTATACGCCACAACAGTTCTGATTGTACTTTTTAGTTATTTAACCAGAAATTAAACTATTTTTAAAACTTTTCTTTAAAAAAAATGACAATGGGAATTAACTATTTTGACAATCAATTCATCATTAAGTAATTTTTCAAGCAGAAATGCCAAACATTCCCTAGTTCCAGCTCATCATTTGTAAGAATGTGCATTCAATTAAGAATGTGCGCAGCAAGGGCTTTTCTGCTGCCTAATGAGTACTTCTGATACTTTACATTTTGCTGATCACTGGATCCTTGTGTGAACTTTGCATAAAGCAACAGTCCAATACATCTTCTCCTGTTTTGTGACTAACTTGAAGTTAAAGGAATGATGGACTGAGGGCAGGGGTGGATCTAGCAAAATATTCATGGGGTGGCCAGTGAGTGGCATGGAGACTAAGAGATGGCAGAAATATATGCTGATTTAATAAATAATAATAATTGCTTCGAAAATCCCCCAAATGAAGATATTTGAACTCAAATAATACATTATTGTGGCACATTAGTAAAGCATTCTGACATTTCCTCTGTCTTCTTTTTTTTCCAAATACATATTTTTTCATCTTTACCTTTATCACTTGTCTAAAATTTGTCCAGAACAGATCCTTAAATTATATGTGTTGATTTCTATTTTTTAAGACATTGTTTTGATGAATTAAATGAATTAAATTAATCTATGTGTTAAATTTGACAGCATTTGACATCCAAACTACAGGGTGGCAAGACATTTTTTAGGTGTGGCAGCTTGATTGGGAAACATTGATTGCCATTTCTATATAACTGCAGTCAACTAAAATATAATTTATTGTTAAAAGTATTTGTATTGGAATGTGTCTGTGAACTGACTGCACAGTATGATGAAAAGTTATCAGGTTCACACATGTAAAGTGTCCAACAAAGTGAAAACATCTGCATGTGTGTGTGGGTGAAGTAGAGAAAAGAGGAAGGGGGTGCTGGGGGGCTTTCTCCTGATGTGTGTGACAGAGGAAGACCTCCCTGAACGTCTTTGGATCCTGGACGGTTTGAAAGAATTACAGGGACACTGCTCTGGCTGTTAGATAATTACAGGTTCAGACCCACGTCTGAGGGCCAAATCACTTCTGCATGGAAAAAAAAAACCTGAAGAAGAAACGTGAGTGCGGTAAAAACAGAAAGTGATGCTTAACGCAGGCTCTCTTAAGTATGGCTTTGCACGAAGCCAAGAGGCTTAATCTACTTTGTGGGTGTTTCTGAGGGACTGACAGTCTGCACAATATTAAACAAGAAAACGTATAAAGCAGCATGTATTAAATAATAACTCACAGAGAAATGCACACAGGTGGTGTATTCTGACAAGCCATCCTCATGTGATCTGTGTCACCTCGCAACCTGTACTCCAAAAGAGACTCTCTAGCAATCAGGAAAAACACAAGATCATTAGTTTTAGACATTAACTCTGAATATTCATCTCGGCGCAGCTTACTCAGCAGTAAACTACTATCAGTAAATTACTTTTCTCTTTAGAGCTGACGGTGCAGCCTGAGAGAACGTAATGTTGACGGACAGATCGAGTGGAGGTGGGGGAAGAATGTATCTACCAAACAGGCATTTCCATTAATATAATTTGTCGTTCTCTTTTTCATTAGGGAGTTAGCTAGTCAATCCACGTGGCAGGTCCATTAACTGTGACTGGAACGGGAGGAGCCGGACGTTTGATGTTGCGGACTGTGTTGCATGGAGCTTGGGAGATTCAAGCTGCCTGATTGTATGATGTTCCGAAGATTACATACATTGAACCTGGTCCTTCTAAATATACAGGTAGATAACTGCTTGCACACACCCATACGTACATCCTCCTTCCACCACATTTCAGTGTGCGATGGTGCGTAGAGAACAACATTTCCAATTTAAAAAGCAATTAAAGCCTGAGCAGAGAATCCAGTGTATTATCAAAGCTCCAAACTGGAGCTCTCTATTATCTTTAGGATGAATTCACCTAAATCAGTGGCACATAGCCCTAGGTTCTCCGACTGTTTTAAAAGCACTGCACTGCTTCTTTCCCCTTCGAGTAACCACCACCATCTTAGGAGTCCATCAGCACACATTGCGTTCTGCTTTGAACCCTAATGCCCCCTGCAGTGGCAGCCACACTGCTGTCTCTCTCACAAGTCTAAGCAGAGAGGAAAAGTCTTGATCTTTGGCAAGAAAGGGAACCCAGTCTTTTCTCTTTTAAGTCGCAAGTTCTGAGGTGGATTTGTGTTATTTGCCAGGCTGGAGTAGGTAAGCCATTGATGAATAATAAAAATTTTTTTTTACTTTCCTTTACTTACACATCACCAGCCACCTCAACTGTCAAGTAGGATAGAATTCAGCCTGTATTTGCACTGTTAATTATTCATGTGCAGTGTGAAACTCAAAAGGATCAGTATACACATAGCACAGAAGCAGAAATGGTTAAAGTTTTAACAAAAATGAGGGAGGAGGC